TAGTCAGGAAACAGAGCCACCCTCTGAGGGACTGCGAAGGGGACGTGGTCATGAGAATGTATTGTGGAGCCCTGCGGTGTGGGAGGCAGGAGCTAAGTAGAACGTACGCATCACATTGTCTCCTAATCTCATTGCTGATTTAGGAAACAGTCAGGATTTCCATCTGACAGACAAGAATGCTAGGCCCTCAGGGCTTAGGAAACTCTTCCAAGTTTAGAAGATCAGGAAGAGACCACAATGAGGCTAAACAGACTCTATCTCTTAAGAGTGGCTCTTGGCCACTGAGTCACAGTACCCAGTGTTCCACTGTTTATAGTCCGAGTTCAGCTCTGCAGTGACGATGCTGCCATTAGAAGAATCCAGCCTGTGGGCAAACTGGCCTGAAGCAGGTAAGCAGTGGCTACTGAGCTGTCCGGTCAGATGAGCCTTGATACAGGCTGGATAGGGTGGGGAGCACTGCACGCTTCTCTGTGGAGAGACACAGTCAGTGTTGGCAGGGTACGGATCAGCCTGGGAGGCTGCTGGAGGAGGCCCAGGGCCCGAGGAGGGCTGTACAGGTTAAGAAAGGATGAGAGAGGCAACGGGAAGCCAAACAGGAGCCAGTTAAAGCCTGTGCAACTGAGCTGGCCCCTTACTAACACACACAAGGTCTGCAAATTCAGACAGGCCAGGCCGGAGTGCAACTCAGTCAGTAGCATGCATACCTAGCATATGTGGAAGCCCAGGTTCAGTCTGCAGCACCACATGAACCAGCTATGATGATGGTGCATGCTCATAATCCCGGTACTCGGGAGGTGGAGCCAGAAGTTTAAGATCACCCGTGACTACACAGGGAGTTTGAGGTCAGCCTGGAATATGTGAGGCCCTGTCACAAACGGGAAGGCAGAGGAGAAGGAAGATTAGAAGAGGAGGAGAAAGAAGCAGAGGAAGAGAAGAAATGGAAAGGAAGAGGAGGAGGAAGAGAAGGAGGCGGAGAAAGAGAAGGAAGAGGAAAAGAAGGAGGAGGAGGAAGAGGAGAAGAGAAGGGGGAATCGGGTTTGTACAAACCCAGACTATTCTACTTGTTGATAATGCTGAACCACACCATGTGACTGGCTGATGCAAGGCTGCCTGTTAGAAACACACCCGGATCCCCCAAAGCCCTACCCCTTGTCATTTATCTTCAGCAAAATGAAGACCTGGATCAATGGCCTTAAATGTTTATCTATTCTTTCCAGATATCTCCCTTGTACCCTGCAAACAAAGCTACCTTGAGGGCCACTATACCTGTGTTTTTCAGCGAGAGAAGATGAGAAATTGATGACAACATATGGCTTTTTTTTACAATTATTGAGTGTACATGTGTGTCTATAGGTGTACCCATGTGAGGCACACACATACTACGTGCCAGGGTGTACAAACGGAAGTCAGAGGACATCTGACAAAAGTCAGCTTTCTTCTTCTACTGTGTGAATCCCCAAGGCTGAACTTAGCCTGTCAGGCTTAGGGGCAAGCGTTTTGACCCACTGAGCCATCTCTGCATCCCTGTCGTACCCTATATCAGAAATTCATTCCAATTAAGGATGAGGCATATTCCATCGTGTGCATTCACCATGGTTGGTCCATCTTTTATCTGTGATGTGCACACCTTCCAAGCATTATGGATAACACTGCTAGGGACATGGGTGTGTGAGTATCAGGATCTTGCTTTCTGTTCTCTTGAGCTTATGATTAGAATTTTTTTTTGAGTTATATAACAATTGTAGATTTCACTTTTTGAGAAGCTTCCAAACTGTTTTCCACCAGTGTTGTTGTTTAGTTGTTTGATTGACTGGGAGATGTTTGTTTTAGACTGGATCTCATTTTGTAACCCAGGCTAGCTTGGACCTCACACGTAGTCCAAACTGGCCTTGAACTTGTGGTGTTTCTCCACTATTGCATCTTGAGTGCTAGGATTATAGACATGAGCCACCCATTCTGGCTAAACGAGGAGCACTCATGAAATCCATTGTGACCTGTCTTGTTCCTGTCACAGGGCTGCGTAAGTATTCTACTACTGAGCCATACCTCCAGGAACATCTATATTTTTAATATTTTTTAAATGCATATGAGTGTTTGCCTACATGTCTGTATGTACATCACCTGGGTGCTTTGTGCCCACAGAGGTCAAAAGAGGGCATCAAATTTCCTGAAGCTATAGTTAACACCTGTGGATGCTAGAAACTGTACCTGGGTCTTCTGCAAGAGCAGCAACTGGTCTTAACCATCGAGTAATCTTTCCAGTCCCTAATATCTGTATTTTTAACAAACAAAATGATATCCAAGTATTTTTACATGTTTTTTAAATGTCTGTGTGTGTGAGCACTATCCACTGTTTTCAAAGAGCACGACATAGGATGTGGACAGAAAGACTTTGATGCTTTTGAATATTGAGCTATATGACTACAGGACCCATGCTAACTGTCACTTAAAGTTCCCTCCAGGAGCAAGATGGCTCAGCCAGCAAAGATACTTCTTGCCAAGTCCGACGACCTGACTTTAATCTTCTGGTCCCACACGATGGAAGAGACGTAACTCCCACAATTTGTTCTCTGGCCTTCACAGACATACAACACAAATGTAATTGTGTGTGTGTGTGTGTGTGTGTGTGTGTGTGTGTGTGTGTGCGTGCGCGCTTCCCCCAAAGCCTCTGATAGCCTCCCTAGGCTGTTTCCTTCCTGTATGTCAGGAACGGGCTGAATAAGGCCTCAGTTCAAAACAACTTATACCTACTCCTCAAGTGTGCTGACGTGGTGTTTAGATGTGGGACCCTTAGGGAAATGATGAGACATAGAGACAGAGTCCTCTTGAATGGTACTAGGACTCTAGAGGAGCCTAAGGGACCACATCTCCCCGCTCACTATGAGAGCACAGCTACAAAGCACTGCGTGCGAACTGGAAAGGCCCTCCAGGAACTGAATCTCCAGTCTCCAGAGCTGTGAGGGGAACTTGTGCTATCTGCAGTCCTAGCTCATGGTGTCTGGAAGGTCTTGTGGCTGTTCTTGTCAACTTGACGACACCTGGAACTAAATGGAATCTAAAAACGGAGGGACACACCTGTGAGGAATTTTTGCTTGTTTTGAAGTGGATGGATCCACTTCTAGTCCAGATTTCTGAGGTAGGAAGACACACACCTTTAATCTGGGCCACCCCTGCTGGGAGCCTGTATGAGGGCATGGAAGGCGGAATGCTCTTTGCCTGCCTGCTCCCACCTTGCTAGCCCATCCCTTCACTGGCATCAGAGCCTACTTCTTGGAAGTTCCAGCGTCTACTGAAGGCCAGCTGAGACGTTGGCTGGGAAACTTCTGGATCCTTGGGCCTTTTGTTCAGCCATGGTATGATTAGCAGGATCACAGCCTATGGGTCCTTCTAATAAACCCCTTCCTGTAGAGAGAGATTCGTTCTACAAGTTGTGTTTCTCTAGAGAACCCCGATTAATACAAAAGAGCAAGGTGCAAGGATTGAGCCTGTCACTACAACACTCTATCAGCACCCCCAACTTTGCAGTGTTTTTTTATAGCAGCCCAAACTCAATCCCTTTCAGCTGGCTCCAGAGGTCTGTGATCTGAGTTTCCCAGCTGGATTCTAAAATCCTAGAGGAAAAGAGATTGGACAATCTGTTTAAATTTTTTTCCCCTATGGCAAACTATTGATTTTATTTATTTATTATTTTAAATTTTGTTTTAATTTTTTAATTTAATTTAATCTTTATATTTAATTTTGGTTTTTATTGAGCTATATACTTTTCTCCACTCCCCTCCCTTCCTTCACCCTCCCCTTCTGCCCTCTCCCATGATTCCCACGCTCCCAATTTACTCAGGAGATCTTGCCTTTTTCTACTTCCCATGTAGATTAGATTGTTTTAACTTTTTAAATTTAAATATATTTATTTATTAAGAGGCAGGTTTTCACTATGTAGCCCTGGCTGGTCTAAACCTCACTTTGTAAACCAGATTGGTCTCAAATTCAGAGATCTATCTGCCTCTGCCTCCTGAGTACTGGGATTAAATAGGAATGCCACCATGCCTGCCAAATACCACTTTTTTTTTCTATACTGGGGACTGATCCCAGGGTCACACGCATGCTAAATGAGTAAATTATATGGTACTATGTGCCCAGGCCCCAAAATTCCCTTTTTAAGCCCTAACCCAGGGAGGTTTTACTACCCCAGCTAGAAACCACCACTTGCAGGATTCCAGGTGTGCAGACCAAGTGATGTAAGCCTAGAAGAAACAGCTTTTGACATGGGGTGGCTGTGGGCAATGGAACTGAACTTTTAAGAACAGATGGATCTAGTTCAAATCCTAGCTACTAGCTCTGTGCATTTGAACTACAGCACTTAACCTCTCTAAGCCTAAACTTCTTCATCTGTTTCCTAAGGTTAAGATGACAAACAAGAGCTTAAGAAAACCGTAGCACACAGAAGCATTCAACAGCTATCAGATTACGCTCCCGCTCCCCTCGTTTCCTTCTTCCTTTCTGGGAAGTGGCTAGGACATTAGGCTACGCTCTTCTGTTTTCAGCAGGTTGTCTATACAGCTGCATGAAGGAAGGCTGTGTGAGCTGGTTCTCCTAGCTACTCCCTTGCTACAAACCCATGAGTATCTACAGACTGTTCACCCAGGGCGGGGGGGGGCAGACCCCACTTAAATGGCCCTGTGGGTCTCCAGCCTGGAAAGTGGGGAACAGGGAAGGGGCGGATAGTGAGTGTGAGCGAGTACTCCGTGAGAAGTGGTGGCAGGTGTAGGGCTGAGGGTGCTCTGGGGGAGGGGACGGCGTGCAGGGCTCTATACCAGGGGCCCCACGCACCTAAAGGTCTCTGAGCCTTGCTTTCGTCACCCATAAAAACAGAGCAAACCACACCTGCACCAAACTCCACGCTGTTGGATGATTAGATCAGATACCCAAGGAGATAGTTCATAAACACTCCCTTCCCCACAGGAGGAAGAACACAAAGGCCTCCAGAGAGACCAACACATTCATAGGACTGCCTTATAGAAAACAGACTTGCAGAGATTTAATAGATGCAAAAAGACACAGGATTGTCACTAGGGTTGGTCGGATCACGCAAGCTGCTCTCGAGGCACACAGAATGGAACAAATAACAAAATGGACTTTTTCCTGCGTGTGGTCGGCTGATGACTTAAAAATTTACCTAAGAGGGTAAAAGCCAACTGGTTCATAGGGTCGTATTCCATGGCGAAGAAATGAGCAACAAAGCAGTGAGAGTGGGTAAAGGCAGCCCACGGCTTCTCAAGACAAGAAAAACGAAGCGTTTTGTTTAAACAATGAGACAGACGCCGAGAACATCGCCTGCAGAGCCCATTGGGGGATGTGGGGCTGTAGAGGCTGTGCCAGAAGCGCCACCTGGCCAAGACAGTCCCTGCCAGCACCAGGTAGTCAGCCCTCCACTGAGCTCTGGGAAGAGCTGATAGCGGGATTAGGACAGGGGTGGCCCAGGTGGAAGGACAGAGGGACACAGGGCTCGCAGATACATGAGGATGCTGTAGGAAGAGAAATATCAAAACGGGGCAGAAGTCATCCCCATCTTTTTCTATGGCTTTCTTTTTGGCTTCCTGAAGAGATAGGTGTTTGAGACCTGAAAGCAAGAGAGAGAGCTCCGGAGAGCATCCTAAGGGAGGGAAGGCTGCTGGCCCTGAGGAAAGCCCAGTGCTGGCTGAGGGGAAGATGCAGAACATCTGGGGCCGGGAATGAATTCAACAGGACTCAGGCAGCTGAGCCCAGACCTGAGAGAGTCAAAAGACAATAAAAAAGCCAAAAAGAGAGGAACGGATGTGACCCTTACAGGGCTGAGGTATCAGAAAGACAGCTACAGCCAAGTTCCAGGGCATGGCCATGCCAGGGGGCCGTCCTGAGCAAAGGACCACACTCCCCTCCTCCATGAGAGCCCTCGGCAGGACGTGAAGGCCAGGAACTGGAGCTCCAAGGAGACTCCGTAGGCCTCCCAAGGCAGCCGCTTTAATTGAAGGTGGCCACATCCCTGAAGTCCTCAGCAGCCGCTTTGATGCAGAAGCTTGCAGATGTCCATATATTCCTGCTCGGGACAGTCCATGGGCGAAGCGTGGGTGGCTGTTTACAGTCATGACGAGCTTCCCGCCTACCTACCCAGCAGAGGACATGCTTGACCAGAGGGGAATAAGGTGCTGATGGCGCCTCAGGCACTTGGTGTAGACGAGGAGGCCGCCCCACAGGCCTCAATAGTGAAACACATTCAGTCTGTTGTTCTCATCCAGGCCCAGCTGCAGTAAGTTCGAAGTGGCTGTTGGTTTGGGCGCTGAGAAGAGCTGTCTGGTCACAAAGTGAAGGAAAACTAGATGGCTGAGCTGGACAGGTGGGTGCTAAGAACAGGTCAAAGGCCCAACAGGATGCTCCTCAGACATCAGAGGCCTGTGGCAGAGCACAGCCAGTCGGCCGGTACAACAGGAAAGGACAAGGGTTTGAGGACCAGCTAAAAGGATACACCTTGGGGTCATTCTTGAAATGTTCTAGCCACTTCCGGTTAGACTCGATCATGCTCTGGACGCTGACGCTGTCCATCTTGGGGACTCGAGAATGGGAATGCTGCAGGAGGTGGAGCTGCTCACTGGGGAAGAGGGGGAGAGCGAGGAGAGGGAGAGCAGGCAGGAAGTGGGCTGGTGTGAGTGGCAGAGTCAAGCACCTCCCCCCTCCTCCTCTCCCTGGCCCACCAGTGTCCCTGTAAGGCCTCCTCTGGTCCCCAGAGGGAAGGTAGTGAGTGCCCTCCAACCCCTTTCTGGGCACTTAATGCAGAATCTACCCAGGACCTTCACATCTGTCTGTCCTCAGCCAATCTGTCAGCTCAAATACTTACACAGTGCCAGCTCTCGGGCTGACCCAGAGAGCAGACATGGCTGTGGGATTTACACTTAGGCTGGGGTGGGGAGGAGAGAATATTTGGCAGGGAGTAAGATGAATAGGAAGTGAATAACGGGACTAAATAATCACCCGTCTGTCTCCCCATGGGGTGTCCCCTTACTCCAGATGTTGCTCAGCAAGCACTGGAGAAGAGGCCAAAGGAATCAGACAAAGACCAACAGCAAAGACGGGCCAGACCCCAGGGCTAGTGGGACTCCCCTCAGGCTCACGTCTCCTCACAGACCCAGCAGACAACATCTGTAGAGCTAGTCAGACACGCCCCTCCTCATACCCACTGAACCTCAGCAGCAGGGTTTGACTATTCCCTCTGCTCAGTCGGTGGCAGGACGTAGATGACTCTGGACTGGGGACCTGCCTGGGTCCATGATACCCCTCCCCAGGGAGGTCCATACACTGAGGCTCTTGACTGAGAGGCTCACCTGACGGACACATAGCCCAGCTTGTTCTCCAGTGGGGGAGGGCAGCCACTGAGCAACGGGATGCCAGCTGCAACAGCAAGGAGTGCAAGGGCAGTCGTCAGCCAGCTGAGCCAGCCCCTGAGCCAGCCCCGGCCTCAGCGAGCCACTCTCGTGTTCACCACCCGCGCCTCCTGCAGTCCCAGAAAAGGATGTCCCCAGAACAAACAATGGCAGGCAACGTTTCTGTGATGAAGGTGACAGACGGGTGAAAGACAAGAACTGTCCTATTTACTATGATGCTAAAAACCTAGTTTTCAATTTGGGCTGGGGCAGAAAATGTTGTTACATGTTTCCTCAAATGGCTGCCTTTATGACTTGTGTTCCTCAACAGGGGGTGGACTAAAGGAGGAGACTGGACAGAAGCAGAGCAGAAGCCAGCCAGGGTCAAGGGGTCATAGGCAGAGTCAACACCTGGTACCTGACTCTGGAGCTCACTACTAAACCCCACTGAGTCTCAACTTTACTAGTCTATAAAATGGACACAAATAATTACTACCTCGGAGAACGACAATACAAACTAAAGAGGTGTGTGTGTGTGTGTGTGTGTGTAGTGTGTGTGTGTGTGTGTGTAAAGGTCATCGTGTACTGTATTAACGACAGGCATTAGGGTGACAACAATGACGGGTTTTGATTCTGCCTGGCTCTAGCTCCGCACAGTGCAGGCTCGCTGTACAACATCCCAGCGCAGACCCTCTGGCTGTAAGGCCACAACAAGGTCTTCCTTCACCAGGGCCCCACTGACAGAGCCAATGACCAAAACTGGGGAGGGAAGTAATGGGAGGCAAAGGCAAAAGAAAGGATGGTTGTGAAAGAGGGCATAAGGGCAGAGGAGAGAGGTGGGAGGGCTCCACCCAGAAACCAGGTGCACGGGGGAGTGGGGACCTACAAGGAAAATACTTGCGCCACTTCTCCAGCAGGAAGTCGTCCACAGTTTGCGAGGAGGAGGAGAGCCTGGTGCCCTGTCCCGGGTCCCAGGCCCACTGGGTGGACGTGGGTGTGGCAGACGATGAGGAGGAGGGCTTGGTCAGGAGGGAGTAGGCTGGGGTAGGGGCGTTCTTGGAGGACCGAAGCGAGGAGGTGAGGAGCGGAGGTGGGGGTGGGCTGCTGAGGACCTGTGGAGGCGGCTGGGAGTTGAGGCTGCCCAGCACGCTCAACACACCATTCAGCTCGCTGCTGATCCGCTGAAGGGAGCTGCTCAGGTAGTGGATCTTGTTGGGATCAGCGGAGCTTGGGGTCAGGGTGACTGAAAGAGGCAGATGGTAGGAAGGATTCAGGATCGAGCTGGAACTTGAGTATCCTACTACTGCAGAAGACCTTACGGGGGGACAAAGGATGGGTGCAGGGCTTCTGTGTCCCCAACAAGGGGCCCAAGGACACAGACAAAAGGAAGAACAAGGTCCTTGACCCAAGCACAGGCCAGAGCAGCCAAGAGTGGGGGGCTGCAGGAATCCTTGGCCCCTTCATCCTCCATGCTGCAGACCCAGGGATGAAGATGTACCTCATCCAGGCTCGCTGAAGGGCTTGGAGGAGGAGGCTAGAATGGCCCCACATTCCTCCCTCTCCACAACACTGGGCTTCACTTCACCTCTCCCTCCCAGGCTTCCTTGTGTGACACCACTCACTATGAGGCAGGGGGCAGGACTCAGAGCTCTCACTGCTCAAGTCTTCCATGTCACTGAGATCAAAGGTCACCTTCTTGATAGAGGATCCTTTCAGAGTGTCCTCATCAGAGACCTGACAGGTAGAAGTGACCATTAGCACTGTCCCTTCCCGTGTGATTTCGCTCTGCCTGCCTTGTGGTGAGAGAGGACTGAGGTCTGATGAGGTGGTTCTTCTGAGGTCCAAGGTTCTATAGGCACCCCAAAAAGGTACCCGCAAAGTCTGCCTCAGAAGAGGGGCTAAGCTAAGAGAACTCAACTGCCTGTGAAGCAGTCCATAGGGAGCCCCCCAGGACCAGCAGAACCCCATCATCCACCCCAAAACTGGCCATTTGAATATCTCTGCTCCCAAACCAAAACCTGGGGCATGGAGATTTCACACAGTCTCAGGGAAGGAAGCCACACTTGGTCACACTTCTCCTGGAACCATGCAGGAATAACAGGGCTAGTCCCCAATTCTATGACATTCACCAAGAATGCTGTGACCAAGCAGCAGATGCTCCAAGAATGTCTTGAACCATCAGCACAGACATCAGCTTCTCAGATATTTCGACAGAGCCAATGCCTCTGTTATCTCGGCCCAGAGCCTGAGCACTAGCGATCCAGCTCTCCCTAATCCAGGCCTAGAGGAGGGAGGGAGGGGCCACACCAGGCTGTGTGGACACAGGGTGACACCTCTTCCTGTAGAGAAGATTCCAGTTGGTTCAGCTTCTCTTCTTTCTTCTTCAGCAGGTCATGGCCTTTCCTCATGGCTGACTTCATCTCATCCAGGTGCCTGGTCTCCTGTGGCCAGGGAGGAAGGGGAGGAGAACTGTTCAGCACGGATGCTAGAGTCCGGGCTCTGGTATTTGTTGGCTGGGTGGTTGTAAACACATCCCTTAACTCTAGGGCCGGCTGCTCATCTAAGAGAATGGCTTTTCCCTCAGACCCTGAGAACTAACAAGACAGTGTGTTATGCTAAGTTCTCAAGCTGTGGGCCAAAGGGTTACCATCACTCTGTTAACCCTTGCCACCACCAAAAGGAATACAGCACAGCAGTGAAGGTGCCCAGGGAGAGAAGGGAGCCCATCCTTGTGTCTGCAAGCCTCTTGCTATCTGTTGCCCACAGGCCAGGCATCCAGGCCTCAGAGCATCATCCCTCACCAGTTCAGGCACCATCAGAGTTCTAAGCGTTCAGACATGTTCCAAGGGAACCCGTGCTACTGAGGCCTCGATTGGTACACAAATCTGTAACATCATGTAACAATGGCATCTCTGTCTTTTCATTGCAAACCAGACTGTCGGAGAAGCCAGCCAGGGGAGCTACTCAACCTTGCACTGAGTGTATCTACAGATCTTCCGTCTCCAGAATACCAAAGGGTAAAGAAGAGCATTGGGTTTGAAATGTTTTAGACATTGGTCATACCTTTCGTGTAGGACATGGCAATAGCAATACAGGTTGAGTATCCCATTTCCAAACTGCTTGGCCTCAGAAACACCTGAGATTTTGTAGTTTTCAGATTTGGGAATATCTGCATAGACTTTACTGCTTGAATTGATTTGGGGGTTAGGGACCCTCAACCTATATCCTCACTCATTAAAGATAATTACTATGAAGATAAAATAATTTATTATTAGAGAAGGTGTTTACACATGATATATGGCCACGATTAGGCAAGTGACCCCCAGAGCCCGCATGGCCCATCTCAGGGTTCCCAGAATGCTCAGCTGAGGAAAGCTAGCCCCCTCAGATCTCCCAATACAGACTAGCAGGCCCTCCTCTAGGCTCCTAACCTCATCCAAGTTCTTGCACACACTGTCCAGGATCTTGGTGCCTGGGAGGTCTTCATCCACCCCCTGGGCATTAGCCAGCTCGCGGCGCCAATGCTGCTGGGCGGCTTTCAGGGCCGTCTGTCGCCTCCGCATGGAGCGTGTCTGGCGCACCAGGAACTCCTTTGCACTCCGGACAGCTACACCCTCAGCAGAGAGGAAGTGCCGGACACTGTGGGGCAGGAGGGAGTAGGGAAGGAAAACCAAAGACTACACTGAGCCACGGGGCCACTTCCCCAGCACATGTCCACGTGAACATACACAGGAACTGCTGGACTGGGACTTGGATATCACCATTAAGTACCTAGAGTGTGTGGCACGTGGGGTCAATAGCTCACAGATACTCTGTGGATCGTGCCTGGGAACTGTACTCAGATAACTAGATACTCCTTGAGATCTGACCTTTAATTAGAGGCCAGCAGGTACCAGCATGCTGTGTTAAAAGTCACCAAGCGTAGGATATTGGCTTAGTAGTCTTCCATCCTGGGGCCATGCCTTGAACCAAGCCCCACTGAAGGTCACTGTCATCTCACCTCTGATATAAGCACTCTCCCATGGCACAAAATGGGTTGGGGAAACTCACCTGTCCATGGCCAGGTCGATCTCCTCCTTGCTCTGCGAGAGGGAAGAGGACACCTCCTGGGTCTCATTCTGCAAACACATAATAGAAAAGGCCAGCTGAGTGCAGCAAAGGCCAACAGCCCACAGGCTGAAGGAATCCTGAAGCCCTGCCCGGTGTCCTAGCCACAGAAACAGCTCTGCCAGCCCCCAGGGGCTCTTCACATATATGCACCATCTGAGTGATAGAGAGGGTGGAGAAAGAGACTAAGAAAAGGAGGCTAGATCCAAAATAAAGCACAGCCAAGTTCCTCTCCAAATGCCCAACCCCTACCATCACTCCCAGGCCTCAGCCCCTCACTCACTGTGCCAAGGGATTTCCTCAGGTCCTCAATGTGGAGATCTGGCTCCAAATGTGGGGATGCATTATTCTCAGCTGCCAGTTCTTTAAACATGTCTTGTTTCCTTTGAACTTCAGCCTCTAGGCTACTGTGGTGAGGAAGAGAGCAGGAGGCAGAGCTGTGAGGCTGGCACACTCACTCTCATCCCCACAGGGAAGGGCTGGGGTGTGGACACCAGAACCCAGAATCCTCTCTTTCTCATAGCCTCGGCACTCCATTCCCTACCAAGTGCAGCAGGACTGTGCTGGCTGATTCTGTCTGGGCTCCAAACTGGGCCCTCTCCCTGTGGATATCCATGATGACACGGGTCCCAAAGCAGCAGAGGGCAGAGGTCCGGGGGAAGAGGTGGCCACTAGCCAGGAGCAGAGTGTCCACACTACCTCAGGTGCTTCTGCAGCCTCTGACTTTGTGCCTGCAACAGATCCACCTGGGACTCCAGCTCCACCCGCCGGACACGCAGGTCATCGATGACCCTCCGCAGCTGCCGCTTTGACTCCACCAGGTGGGTATGCTCTTTCTTTGCCTCTTCCAGGTGCTGACGGGTAGCTGTGGCTTCCTGGAGCACCAGTGCCGTGGGGAGAAGGTGAGGTGCAGGCAGTATCAGAGGTGTGGGAGACAGAAAACAAAGGAAAGCTGGAGCCACTGAAGCCACTGTCTCTAGGATCTGGGGTCTGCAGGCTCCTGGTCCCCCACCAGAGCCCCACTCCCCAAGGCTTGAAAGTCAGGTCCACTGGCTAACATGATAGTGGCCAACACAGTCTTAGAACCCCAGAGACCCGGACAGGACAGGTGAACAGATGGCGGGGGACAAACAAGAGAGAAAAGGTGGGCAGACAGACCTCCTTCTCCAGAGCAGCCTGCCTCTGCGCATACAGAAGCAGCTGCTTCTCTTTCCGCATGTTCTCTTCCTGGAGGGAGACAAGCCCTGGGCTGACTGCAGACCCCAGGACTGAGGTAGAGCCTGCCCTTGTGCTCAAACCCCCTCCCCAAGGCAAGGTAGATCCAGCCTCGGCCTCCCTCACCTGGGCATCCAGCTGAGCCAATCTGGCCTTGACATCTTTAGTTCTGGCAGCAAGTTCCACCTCTAAATCCTGTAATTTCCTTTCCTGGCCGAAGTATGGTAGAGAGAAAGACATAGGTGTAGAAAGGGTGAAAGGTTATTAGCTGAAGAATAGGAGAAAAATCCAGAACCCAACATGCCACACCCCAAGCGCTAAGCTGGCCTCAGGCTTGTTTCCTCTTTCCCTGTCCTTACAGCCTTTCAGTGTACACACGCCACATCTTGTTGATCCCCAGTGGGGCAAGGAGACATGAACCTGTCCACCCTAAAGATGTAAATGGGCTGACCTCTCCTTTCCAATACTGGGGCTACTCCCAGGCTCAGAAAACAAAGCAACAAAGATACCCTGAAGTGCAGGCATAACCAGCGTGAGATCCTATTCCTGAAGGTGCCAGAATCTCTGCCCTGCAACTCTTGGATCAGCACCCAAGACTTCGGGCCCTGCAATGGAAGTCTCTAAGTACTGCCCCGACTCCCAGGCCCTCACTTGATCCCGGTGCCGCCGCCTTAGGTCCTCAAGCTGCTGGTCCTGCTCCTGCCTCAAGTTCTCCAGCTCTCGCTCGTGGGCCCTTCGCAGACGCTCCAGCTCTCCAGTCAGGTGCCCCAGGAGGTCAGTGCGCTGCTTCCTTTCCTGAAAAGATCATGGGGCTACCTGTGGGACCCTACAGTAGCTCCGAACACCCCAAAATCAGTTTCTCCAACTCCTGCTGTGTTAGATCAAATAGACTGATGAGGGTCACTATCAGCCCCCCAGATTTTGTCCTGAGGCTGCGGTTTCTGCCCTGGAAGATTCCAGTCACCGGAGCAGGAGCCCAGAGGTCTCCCAGAGGACTGAGTTGTACTACAGTCACACTGCTACTGGCCCGCTATCCAGGCCCAACGGGAACAAGCCAAGTTGAGTTGGGGTCCACTCAAGTCATGGAACATCCCCACCTCCAGATGGGTAACGAGATGGTTGCTATTACTGCCTGTCAAGTTGATAGAGCCTGGAGTCGCCGAGGAGTCAGGCTCTGGGCATGTCTGTGAGGGATTTTCTAGATTGGGGTAGCTGAGGTGGGAAGACCCACCCTAAACATGAACAGCACCACTCCACAGGCTGAGGTCTCAGACCACCTAAAACAAGACTGGAGCTGAGGGTCAGCACTCATCCCTCTGCTCCTGACTGTGGACACAATGTGGCCAACTGCACCATGCTTCTGCCACCATGCCTGCCCACCACAATAAAAGGATAACTTCACACGGGACCAGACAAACCCTTCCTTCCTTGAATTGTCTTTGCCAAGTAGTTTGTCACATCAACATTAAAAAAGTAACTAATCTAGGAAGATAATGCCCAGCTATTGTTGGGTTCTTGTCTCCTTCTTGCTGTCCTGAAATCCCATGCGCCCTGGGGGCGTGGCTTCGGAGTGACTAAGACTGAAAGCTGTGTAGTCAGACAGCTTGGGAAGGTGGCCTAAACTCCCCAGGTCTCCAAATGAAGATGATGGCGCGCACGTTTCCCAAGGCTGCCGTGAGGACCGAGTGCAGGAGGGTGGCTAAGGAGCTCAGTGTAGTGCCTGGCACCTGGTAAAGGCTTGGTAGTGTCAGTAATCATTACCATTTAAACAAAGTGCGGTTACTGTGGGGGAAGAAGCACCCCTCATTGGGAAACGGGGGAGGGGGTTTCTCATGCTTCAGTGGTAAGATAGAACAATGACCTTGTCTTTGCAAGATGCCAGAGAAGTAAGTCTCCTCTGACCTTTTCCAGATCTCCCCCTCCCCATGCCTGCAGCTGAGAAGAACAGCAGTTGGTGTGCCCGTGTCTACATTTGCTGGAGAGGGAGGCGACTAAGCTACCTCAGCTTCGTATCGCTCTCTGGCTTCAGCCATCGCTTGCCGGTGCTCCTCCTTCATCTTGTCCATCTTCCTCTCATGTTCCCTCTCTACCTCCTGGCGCTTGTCTCGAAGGAGGCTGCTAAGCTGGAAGGGGGACAGAAGGAACACAGCTTCACGGACTGAGAGTGCCCAGACCTGGGAACCTGAAGGTCTTACACATGAACTGTCCCCAATACGCACAGAGCACCAAAGCACGTGTGTGTTGAACTATGACCACGACCACTACCCCTTCCTACAGGCACACGGGGGCCTAGAAGCACCAAAGGTCCTGGTTTTGAAGGAGTGGAGGCCACTCAGACTAGACAGCCCAGAAGACCTTAGTGGAGCTGACACAGACCAGCACTCACCTCTTGCTCATACTCAGTCACCTGATGAAACTTCTGGTGAGCTCTCTGCTCTACCCACACAAGGCTCTCCTGTAACTGGGCCTCCTCTTTCTGCTGAGCCCCCTCCATCTTCTTCTGGAGGTTGGAGACCACCTAAGGAGATACCAGCACATACACCAGAATGTGGCCCTCAGAAGTGGAGCCTTTATACAGGGACTCACTGCCAGAGATTAGGCACCCATCCCAGCATCCTGAGGGCCTACTGGCCAAGGGTGGGGCTGAATTCCTGTGCCACCCAGCATGAAGGGGTCTGAGGGTCCAGGCTCTGCCCCGTCAGACCAGGCCACGCTCTTCTCACCTCCCGGTGTTTGGCCTCCAGTGAGGAACAGAGCCGCTCCAGCTCAGCACTGTGCTCCTTCTCCAGGTCTGCCACTGCCTGGAGAGAAGCAGAGGGGCTGTGAGAAGCAGGGAAGGGTGCTGGCCAGGCACTGACCAAGGGAAGCCAGGGTTCAGAGGACCACCTTGCTCTGTGTAAATAAGGGGCCAAGGAGAATCACAAGGACACTTTTGTTTAAAATAACTCAGCCCCTATAGTCTATAGCTGACAGAGAGGTAGAACAAGGCCAGCATAGAGGCCTTTCAGTAAACCTCAGGCCACCGCTACCACACGGACCCTGAGCAAGCCCACAGGTACATACACTACACAAACCCACGGTCACCGTTCCACACAGACCCTGAGCAAGCCCACAGGTACATACACAAACCCACGATCACCACTTCCACATGACCCTGAGCAAGCCCGCAGATACATACACAAACACACATATATGAGAATATGAGGCAGCCAGGCCAGATGGAGGTCCAAGTAGACTCTGGGAACCTCATCTAGATCATCAGGTGTCTAACTACCAAAGCTCTCGCCAAAAGCAAAGTTCTGTGTGGTCCAACACTGGGAGTTTAATTTGGAGGCTGATGTGATGCTGGGAGGAGAAATGAGGCGAGGAGAGAACCTGTGCAAGGGTTTGTCCCTTATTCCAGAGCAGTCGGGGAAAGGAGCCACTGCGGCCGCCTACAGCGACAGGGACAGCACCAGCACTGTCATGTCAAGCCCTCTTCTGGCCACAGCTCCTCCATAGCAAAAGCTCCCCAAATCCACAGGACACTTCCCTGGACAGCTGCTGCAGAGACCAGGGAGAGCATCTGCCCTGAGTAGAGCGAGTCCACATAAGGGGCTCAGGGAGTCAGCTCCCCTGCCTGCACCCCAACCTGGAGCGAGCCCCTCTCATACTCTGCACGCTGTGTCAAGGGAGCAGATTTGATTCGGCTCATTCACCTCTTTCCTCTCCCCTTCCAGCTGCTCCCTCAGCTGCCGCAGAGCCACCTCCTTCTCGGCCTCCTTCTCCGCCTTCAGGGCGGCCCGGGCACTCCTCTCCTCGGCCTCCAGCTGCTCCCTTAGCTGCTCCAGCATCCTCCTGCTTTTCTGTTCCAAACTGGCTCTTTCGGCCTTCTGGAGGGTCTCTGCTTCTTCTCGAAGCCTCTGGAGGGCAGCCTGTTGCTCAGCTCTGGGCAGAGAGAATGGAATGGGAAAAGCCCCGGGCACTCAGGTCACTGCCCCAGGCCAGGCAGCCCCCAGTGTAGACTCACCTAATTTGGTTCTCAAATGCTTCTGTACTGGACTGCACCTGGGCCCGGAGGCGGGCCAGCCTCTGGCTTTCTTCCTCCCTTATCCGAGTCTCCTCTTCCTCCTCTTATGCCGCAGCAGCTTTCTGCAGCTGTGCCTTCAGGAGGCTGAGGGAAAAGGAAAGATATAGGCTGGTGAGAGTGACCACCGAGGTCTTTCTTGGACTCAGGATCCATGCAACTCAACCTCCCCACAAACCACGCTCAGTACTAGAGATCAGTCAATGTCTCATCCATGCTGGTTTCTCGTGGACCTAACTTCCATCTACCCTTGCCACAAGAAGCAAAAGGCAGGCTGCTTGGTCCAAGGTTCCCCTCCACCTACACGTTATCCTCCTGGACAAGGTATTCACTCAAAGAAGGTTATAGCCAACCTCACCCCTCCGTCAGTAGACTCTATCCTGGGCATACCAAATGCATCAAATCTCCAGATCTCTGCCCTTTTCTTTGCCCCTTGACTATTGCTCATGCCAGTCCTTCAGCCAAGAATTCCATTTTTCTATCTGACAAAATCCTATTCATTGCCCAACAGGCAAGTTCATCAATTCACCTTTCCCCTTACAATCTGCATGCAGGCCTTTCTTAGCACAAGCTGCCCTGTACCGTGCATCACGGTACCTCGTAACTAATCTATTCCGTCTGCTTTCCTTGCAGGACAGGGAATTTCTTCAGAATAAGAATCCTGCCTCTTGCCAGGCAATGGTGGTGCATGTCTTTAATCCTACCACTTGGGAGGCAGACGCAGGTGGACATCTGAGTTTGAGATCAGCCTGGTCTACAGAGTGAGTTTCAGGACAGCCAGGGCTACACAGAGAAACCATGTCTCAAAAAACTTAAAAAAAGAAAAAAATCCTGCCTCCTGTTGGGGGAGAGGACAGGTCTCCTTTAGTCTAGGCTGGCTTCACATCCCCTGTAGCCAAAATTGGCCTTAACTCCTGATCCTCTGCCTTCACCTACCAAGTGCCTGGGATTACAGGCTCACACTACCACATCTGACTGATACAAGTCTTCTGTATCAAGCACAGAATACAGTAACAGATATAAAATGCTGTTCCATCAGTATGTTGGGTTTGCGTAATATCACCTAGTCCCAAACTATGAGCAAGCCTTACACATCCATGAGAGGCATCTTATCTGACCAGTGATATCCCTCGTTTCACCTGAAGCAAATATACCTCTACTTTTACAAACAAGATCTTTTTTTTTTTTTGCAGGGGGGGGGACTCCTCACATAGATCCCACAAGACTAGTGAATGTGTGCAGTGCACTCAGAAAGTTCAACCCTAAGGAAAACATGATTCAAAAGACCAGTGAATTCCAGAGACAAAGCAGACTTGGGATTATTTCCTATTTCAAGTTATTTATATCACTCTCTTCCTCTGTGGTAAGGGGGGGAAATGTGAGCAAAGTACAAATCCTTCCTTTTGGACTCCAAAACCCTTTTTTTCCATGGCAAAATTTACACAGCCAACATGAATGCAGGGCTGCTGGGGAACTGAGAGCAACCCAAGCTCTCCTTTCACACCTAACAAAAGGGCAAGACTGGCTGTTTTTTTTTCGTCAGTGGTGAGGAAGAGGATCCACACCCAAGAAAGTTTGTGTGGAAAGGGAAACCAGAGTCCCCTGAAGAACAGCTTCAAGGAAAGCCAGACAAGGCTCTTACCCACAGAGAAATCACTTAGTCATTACTGGCTAAAACTATTCATTTCTACCCAAAATCAAAACAAGAAATGCCATTTAGGGAGCAACTAGCCTGTTCTAGGCCCTGAGACAGACAGCTCAGGCACCTTGGTCTCCACTAGCTTAGAGCCCTTAGGAGCCACCCTCGGGCTGGAGGTGCTGTACTCTAAGGGAAGCCATTGGCTGCACCCTGACCTTTAGCTGGCCAGAAGAGGATTTTACTTGTGGACACAAGAAAATGTGACAAAGGGTGGACCCTGGGACAGGGAGCCTGTGCTGGGCTAATGAGAGGTTGAACCTGACCTCCCACCATTAAGGTGATGGTTATCTGTTTTGTTTCCTCAAAATTAGGCATAGATTTGCTACCTATGGTCTAAAAACAATAACTTTCAACCGCTCCTGGATGTTCTGTCTAAAGGGACAAGCCTTGGCATTAAACTGTCAGCAAAGAACATTCACATGTTTCTGAAGAGGCCTGGCTGAGGGCTATGATATGCTGCTTTTTACCTTCTTGGTAGCCATTCACCCCTTTCTTCTGAGCAGAACCTGCTTTTACTCCAGGGCAGAAAGACTAGCTAAAGGACCACCTCTCCAGTCTCGCCTGTCACCAAAGGAGCCAGGCCAGAGATATTTTCCCTGGGCACTAAATGCAATACCAACAGAAGTTTCTGGGAAAGGTTTCTAGGAACTACTTTGGTGAGATTGTAGGTCAGCACAGAAAAAGGGTGTCCCTCCTTCCCCACACCCCTGCCCTGGGAGGAAGAGGACCTGAGGGATTTCTCCTTCTGCTGGTAAAGCCGTTGCACCTCCTCCTCCTCTTCTCGCCATAGCCTTTCTTCCAGCTGCTTCTGCCTCTCTTTTTTCAACTCCAGCAGCCGCCTCTGGTTTTCCTTCAGTTCCTGGGTCACTGCCTCTTCTGTGGCCTTCAGTATAGCCTCTGAGAACTGCTTTTGGGGAGCTGCAGGCTCTGTGGTTTGCCTGCATAGGGAAAGGGGCAGCTTACCACTACAGTGTTAGAGCCCACAAGGTCCAAAAGCTACAGAATATCACACCAAAACTCTAATGGGGAGCCCCCAGACAGGTCACACAGGGGCTGGCAGTAAGACACAGTGAGCATCTGTCCTATGGAATAAGCCTGGACTGGATAAGATCCAGGATCCTAGGAGGGGGACAGCTCCTAACAGCCTTAGGAGGCTGTGGCCTGAGGGGTGGCTTCTGGCAGGGCAGAGATGGAAAGTCTGTCCCTCACGGGCTCTCCCCTGGGGTGACGCAATCCTGCCTCCAAGTCCCTACTATAGCTCTGCCTACTACTTAAGGCTCATTTCAGAAATAGGTCCCCAAGTCTGTTCTCTGCCTCCCAAATCAAGCAGAGGCCAAGGCCACGTAGAAGAACCACAGAAGAAGCTACAAAGTTCCCTGCCTTGCTGCCAAAGGAGCCGGGTGCTTTCTGGGCCAAACGCGATGAAACACTGTCATCAGCGCATGGTTACGCTAATGTTTGGAACTGGTGAGAAACTCTGAGTCAACCTGAGTGCACAGAGGACTGTATTCTAGACAGTCATGAAGAGTATCAGGATAAAGTATTTTACTTCCTTCAAAGCCAGGCGGCACGCGCACTCCCGGGTGCCTAAGCCTCACATTCCAATACCTATTGGCACAGAAACACTCCTTGCACAGTGCTCAGGCACTACACACTGGCCGTGGCTCAATCCAGCAGGAGCATGTGGGCAGGACCTGAAGCCAAGAACCACTTGAGAGTCAACCAGGGGAGCCAGACCCTCAACTGAGAGCCCTAAAACCCCTCCCTCCAGCTCAGCGGTGTAGCAGATGGAAGGCAGCGGGAGGGGACAGATCAAAATGGCAGAAGAGTACGGGGTGAAGAGCCCCACTGCAGCCAGCAGACGCTAGTGAGGAAAAGACAAAAAAGGCTAGTGACATCTCTGAAATACAGTAAAGACTGGTCCTTCCCTATTTCTAAAATCAGAACTCAGAAAATAAGCCCAAGCCATGCTATCAATTCTCTCCTCCCAACTCTGTCCCCTCCCTCCTGCCACAGCCAGCTGATGCAGATACAGCAACATGGATGCTCCCTCCTCTGAGAATATTGCTCTCCACAAGGGCCTCCCCTCCCAGCTCTCTGCCTCATCAACCCTCCAACTCATTTCCAACCTTGGCAGAAAGCATCTTTTCCCAGCAACAGTACCTTTTAATGTCTGTCTCCCTTGTGGGCTGCATAGCTGTGTGTAGCCCTAGGGACAGATGCTGCAGGAAGATGGGACATCAGACCACACCAGTGAGCCTGCCTGCGCACCTGACGCATAGGCAAATGAGCCTGTTTCCTGCCTCCCTGGTTTAAAGACTTGGTTATCCTGAACACCTTGCTTAGGTCCAAAGCACTGAATGATGCCTGAAAGAGCCGACAGCAAGCTGAGGGCTCAGAAAGAAGAGGTGGGTCTGGTTTCTAGGCCAACCGCTCAGGTATCAACCTCTGTGGGACCCAGTTTCCAGTCACGGGAGGCAAGGCAGGCTGGACACTAAGTAACTCAGAGATACACAGGGATAAGCAAGGGTGGGAAGGCAGGGAGGGCGAGGCAGTCCCCTGGAACGTTCCTAGAAGTAAGGGTACTTCTGCTAAGCTAGAGAGTCAGATACCCGGACTCTCTGCAGCAGTACTGGAATTGAAATCGGATCTTGCATATGTTAGACAAATAAACACTCTACCACAGAGCACACAGCCAGCCAGATCCATTTACTATCCGGCAAATGTTAATAAAAGATGCAGGTGATGACGTCTACGGCCTAACCCTTCGGACTCAGCTGCACGGTACAGAACTCCTGCACCACTCTGAAAAACAACCGATTCCCATTGGAAAAGACTCAAGAAAAGAAAAGCAGGTGCAGCCTAAGGATGGGGCACACTGAGCCTAGGGGGCCAAACATCTGGAAACCCCAGGAGGGACAGCATCATTGAGACAGGAAGAAACATGAAGTGGGGGCACTGGGCAGTCACCATGTCTGGAGAAGAGCTAAGCCGAGCTTCTGGCCTCCCCACAGAGGACCTGGGACCATCCCCTGACCTCTACCTAGCTTCCTCTCTCACACTCAGCTCCTGTCCTTGTGAACAATGCCCTGATTCACTGTGTCAGTCTCCTAGGAGACCTGAGAAAGCCCTGTTCGTCACTGCACAATAGCTCACCGTCTAAAAAGAATGTGGTCGCTGCATGCCCACGTAACTCTGGCAGGGTGAGGACGATGAGATGAAGTCACGAGATAATGAGCTCATTGGCCTGGGTAGCTCTCAGTGAGTCACCAGCAGAAAAACTGTCTGCTCGACAACCCTGGGCCCTTTGCACCCCTCATTCACTCGGGGAGAGCCTGTCACAGCTACCTCAGGCCTAAAGTCAAAAGTCAGGGCTCTCGGGAGCAAGTCTGCTCACTGTGCGACTCGCCAGCAAGACCTTCCCCACCCCGAGCCCCTATCTCCTTTCTAAGACATTCCGTATCTGTTTTAGAGAAAACTCGTGCTTCGTGGTTCCCGTTAATGAGCCGCACGGTTCCCCTCACCCACGCTCGGACCTGGCAAGGATCAGTGATGGTTAGTGGAGCCCTCAAAGCTGCATATGGAGCACCAAGGATGAACCATCCTTCACTCCACTCCTGCCACCACTCAAGGGGAACGGGCACTCAAGCAGTCCACACACTGGAAGACAGAACAGACACATAAAATTGGCCCTTACACCTCTGAAGAGACAGATGAGGTGGGGCTGACTGCCACCTTCTCCTCAGGCTCCTCAGCCTCTTGCTGCCCAAGACCCAGCTCTTCGGCCTGGGAGTGCTTCTCCTCAGACATCTCAGAGAAAGCAGGCAGGCTCAGGACCTGCTCCCTTGCAAGCAATACAGAAGCAACTGTGTTAGCGCCAGTTAGGAAGGGAAGGGCTCGGCCTACAGCCTATTTGGGATTAAAGAACTGTGGCAAGACATGGAGGGCAGCCCCAGGGAAACTTGCCTGCCTCATTCCCCAATCCCCCTCTGTCCCAGCCATTTGAAGTGAAGACCAAACTTTCCCACCCGAATGGGAAGAGAGATGGTCCCATCACCCAGAAATCACTACACACAGCAGGTGTTCAGTGGATGCTGCTGATTGGACTTTGCTATTGCTCAGCTTCCCCTGCAGCTCATTCCAACTGTATGAATCTTTTTTTTAAATATTTATTTATTATGTATACAATATTCTGTCTGTGTGTATGCCTGAAGGCCAGAAGAGGGCACCAGACCCCATTACAGATGGTTGTGAGCCACCATGTGGTTGCTGGGAATTGAACTCAGGACCTTTGGAAGAGCAGGCAATGCT